AATCCATGAAGCCTTCAATTTCGGATCTAATCTGTGTAGCAAGTGTAGACTTCCAGGTTAAAGTTGACTAGGAAACTATAACTGCTTTTTGAAGACTAGCTGATATGGTTTAAAAGTGGTTACATTGGCACAGATATACTTACATCCTCTATAGGTCTTAATAGCAAAATTACATAACTTAATTTGCTCTAGACGCTTGTCTTTCTACTTTGTGGCTTTGTGCTGCTCATCATTACATTGCTTTGATTTTATTATCTTTCATCTTCATCTGCTGTACTCTGATAAGCTGGTCTGAGGCGTAGCAACCCATACATTTATGCAGTAGTGCAGAATCCCATGCTAATAATGTATGTCAATCACATATCAAGGTATTCAGGAGACAGGTTCAGTTACAAAGGATATTAACTAGTCTAAATTTAGGGTTGAATATCTTTAGTAAAAAAATCCAACTTTTTCTCTTTAGTAATCTATGTGCTTTGAGGATATCTGATCTAAGTGTTTTTAAAATAAAGTAATAATGAACAATTTATGCATTGCCTTCTTAGAAGGCAGTTTGTAAGTGTCATTCATTGCATACTGTAGGTGAAAATGAAGCTGGTTACTTGACAAACGACAGGAAAGACTTAATACAGAACTCAGGTCCTTACTTCAACAGCTCATAATCTCAAAGTCAGACAGTACTAAACTGTTTGTGAAACTAACTTATGCCACCAACGTATGAAAGCAGTCGGTTGGATCTATACAACCTCACAAGAGCCATTTTTGATTTCGGATATAATTTTACTACTTCCAAAAGCGAATCCTAATCGACTGTTCTTTGATGGGTCACTAGAAGTTAACCAACTTCTTGCTGACTAGTCCTAAGTGCTGGTCGAATTCTATCAATCACCTGGCAGTGTGGTCACCAGGCAAGGCGACTCAGCATCGCGATTCCCTTTTGATGGATGTCAGGTGGATGGAAGTAATCAGTAGGAAGGCTTGAACTAAAGTTTCTTGCTTTCTGGCACCGTTCAGCAAGATGTGCCGGACAGCCCTACGGAATTAATGTCTCGTATGAGATATGAACCCGTGTCTTCCAGTACTATGGTCAGAGATGTCACCACTAACCTGTTCTTAGTTGGACAGATTAATTTTAGGGATTTTTAATCGTAGTGTAAAGTTTGATGCTTGATGTATTCTTTAAATATTCGCTATCAGTAACATGCTGCTTGGTATTCAACCATTTTACACTTTTCTGAGACAAATAAATCACCTCACATCTAGGCATTTGATTAGACAGGTGGACATGAGCGATAATAAGTTAAGCAATCAGCTAACATATGGTACCAAATGAATAAAAGTGGGCCAAATGGTATCTAATGCAGATTTTGTGTCGTTGATGTGCTGAAAGTTGTATTTATCGCTAAGATCAAATCTCCATAGTCACAATGCATTTTTTGAAAAATGTCATGTATCAGGAAGTTAAGCTAGCAAATCTTCAGTGAGTGTTAAGAGGCAAGAAAACAACTGGTACTAATTTAAAAGAGATACATTCGGTTGAATTCAGTGACATATGTTGTATAAAGCCTAGCAGGAGAAATTAGACCAAGTCAAATAGTTCGCAAGTGTATGAGCAAGTGTGTTCATCAAGTCGAGGGAATATGAAGAATTCATTTAGTTAAAAGCTAAGGTTTGAAAGCATTTAAACTTTCAAAGTTGAGCAAACTGAATCTAAACTAAGTATAATTGATAACAGTGTAGGTGATAACAGATGTGCGTTACATGAACTCAGATAAAAAATGATAGACATAAACATGATAATCAAAGGCAAGGAACACCTGGACTTTGGCAACAGACCAGTTAATAGTACAGAAGAGAATCGAATACTTTATTGTTAACCAACCAGTCAGGAAATATCTCTTACTAGTGGTGAATTTGAAGCAAACAACAAATGGAAGAAAGGTAGTGTTTAACGGTAGGAACCTTCAGTTGAATAATCTACATATATCCTAACTGATGTTGAATCTCAACCCGTTTCAAATACCTGTGTGAATATTTGATAGGCAGATAACAGATTTATTTTACTGTTAAGTAACACTCACTATAATCCTAAAAATAGCATGGGTAGCTCTGTAAATAACAACACAACTTGGGACATAGATTACCAAGATACATCAAATAGTGAAAACCATTAGGTGGAATCTTGACTGTGTTCATAAATTGATGAAATCCCTCAAAAGTATTTTAAGATTTTTTTGAGTATACAACATACGATGAAGGTGTCGTCGAATTCAAGTTACTCCTCTTCATCTGCCTTTATAATTTTTCCCTAACGACGCTTTTTAAATGTGACACCAATCCCCAAGAGCTGCATACTTACATTAAACTCGAAATTAAACCACCTACTATACTAGTCATAAAATTCATTACCAAGTTTTCAAAGTCCCGGTAAAAGCAAAATTTATTACGCATCATGACTGACTCGCCTACTTCTGTTGTCAATTTGGAAACATATAAGATGTAGTTTGAACGGTATTGTTGATGTTACAACATGAAATTGGTTTTTCTCAAGTTTAACTCATATCTTTCTAGGATTCTTTCATGCTTCAAACACACTGAAATCATATTTGATGAGAATATTTGCAGACCAACTACTCATTAAAACAAAGAAAACCAATAATATGACAAAAAACCAAAACTTTTGAAACTAAAATAAAACAGGAAATCAGTTTGTCAACATATACTTTATTCTACCTAAAATTAGCCCTGTTTCTATTCGTTTCACAAGTCAAGTGTGAAATAGATATTCATTAATCTGTCCATTCCGATGACTGACTGCCATATTAAATATGCTGAAACATTCACTAATAATTCAAGTGAGTGAGTTAGGTAATATTATTTCATTGAATATTGAATTTGTTTTAATTAATGAGAGATAATGCTGCACAGTTTAATTAGAGTGAAAAAGTGTGAACAAAAAACAAAGAGGACTATTCGTTTACTGAAAGGAGAAGCGTTTTTCAGTCGTGAAATATGATACATCCTTTAAATCTAACCAGTCTTTGCAAAAGATCAAATGAAACAGAAAGAACAGGATAATAAGTGACTACCTGATTATATCATTAGATTTAGTAAAATTATAATGGAGACAGTACTAAGTGAGGCAGATGAGTTTTTGGTAGGTTGGAAAAGTTATTCAGATCAAATAATTACAAAGAATACTACAGAATACTGAAAATGACCAGAGATATACTTGACCTGCACGTTTAAAATCAGTATTATTTCACCCTGGTTACTAATAGACCCATAAGAAATGCTGCACCGGGAACAGGTAACCAGACTTGTTCTTTACGTCATTAGTACTCGTTTTGTAACAGGTGAACATCTCGGTCCAAGCATTACTTCAACTACAATTATATTTTGGCCTGTAATTGGAACTCAGGCTCTAACCTGACCAAAAGATATTGATAAACTATGAAGAATGTGCTCCATAAAATTCATCCTATCCTATTAGCCAACCACTTCAATGAATGCGGCTTATAGAGGGTTATTTAAAGTCCAGAGAAGTAAATGATAACGATCCTCATACTTGGTAAAGAGCATACAAGCTACACAATACGACCTCAAAATCACCCTGCAGAACTAAAGAATTTACGATTCTTAAAGGCAATTACCGTTGACGTCATCTTTCAAGGTACACAGTTGACACTGGAAGTGTCTAAAGTATTCTAAAAAGTGTTTCAAACTGCAGGGAAAGGCGAATAACTGAAGCATTTTACGCTATTCTGGATCCTACTGCATTTAGCAGGAAGGAAGGCATGACTATCTAACCAACTTGATGGTATATCTGAAATAAAAGGTTGTATACACTAACCCCACCTGTTTTGTCCTGGTATGGGACTCTTCAGCATCCCAAACTAGGATGAGACAGCTGTTTCGTGCTCCAATGTTTCCAATAGTTCTCCAACTGATGTCAAACTGCAAGGAATATCACCTTGAAATAAATACAAAACCTCAAACTACGTTAAAATGCTTTTGCCACTGAGTAGCACTAAGGCAGTTCAGATGTTAAAACGATCTTTTAGAAAATTTGGATAAGATATATAGCCCAGTATTTGTTGAATATATCTTGGTTATTCTAGAACAGGACTCTTTTAAACAGAAGTCTTTTGTCCCTTGGGATTTTCTAGTTTATCACTTCTGAAGATCCTTAATTTCAGGCAGAACCACATTCACACCTATCTGAACTATCTGATCTGTTAACCTGAAATTTCATTTTACACCATAAAGCACAAAGGAAAACAAGAAGAAACTTTATACAAAATCTTTCTTGGTTTAATGAGAGTATAAAGCACAAAACAGGATATTCATTGCGATACTTCATTTCATTGTGGCTAGCGAAAGGATCCAAGACGTTCTTTTCGTCCTTTTCAGGCAATATCGAGGCATCCACATAGGAGCCCATATGCCAGCAGAGGTCGAACAATTGGATCCAGTAAAACAAAAGAGAATTACAAGTACATCATCAAAAAGTTATGACAAACCAGAATAGCTATCCAGCATACCTTGATCCTTATGTAGTGACATAATATACTCGAAAGTAGAGAACTATTCAAAGGATTAAATTAAAACATTTATGTACATGCATCGACCTCCAAGTCAGCCAATTCCCTAAGACCACTTGACCTTGGGAAATTTTTGTCATCGACTTCCAAATGGACTATATAAAGTTACACTGAGAAGCCATGATTCACAAAGTCATTAGGTCAATCTTTGGGATGGATATTCAGAAATGGAACTACATGAAAACTTACCGTAAGGTATACTGGATGATTACCGTAACAACATGCTCGTCCCATCCAACAAATATTTTGAGTGCACCCTAAATGGTTGAAACTAAGCATAATTCTGTTCATTCAAGTCAAGAACAATAGGTCTTCAGGACTACCCAGCTTTCATCTGTTTTCAAACCAGTCTAACCCCATTATAAAGTACGAAATATATTTACAAAATTCACTAACCTGTATGGGTTCGAATATGCACGTACATATTGCTATAATGTCTTGTTGTGTAGTTGCATAATTTGCATTTCAGTAGGGATTCACCAGTACTTGTTGAATGCGTCTTCTGCAAATGTCTGAGTAAGTTTTTTTCAAATCGAAAACACTTATGACACAATGGACACAGCATATTTTGATCCATAGTAAATGCACTAAAGTTTAATGGGGGAGAATATGAAGATGATGGTGGCGGTGGAGGTGGAGATGATTGTGATTTCGACCTACATAGGAATGATTTTTTGATGTCATTTAGGTTCAATTCTCCTGAAACTAATGATGAAGAATTTGGATCCATATGATCAACCTTCATAGAAAAATTAGTGAATGAAGATGATGGATTTACTGTTTTCACCATTTCATTGATAAGAGAAGAAGGGGGAGATGATTGTTTCCAAGCTGAACAGTTTAACAGCTGTTCATGTATATCATTAGAATGATTTTCTGAATATAAATCACACCATGGAAATCTACACTTCGACTGAAAAAAGTGAGACATATCACCTGAATTCGGATAGAATTTCATATCATTTTCACTATCTGTATAAAATTCCTTAACTGGTTGATTTGAAACCCATTCTTTGTTTCGACTCAACAGCATCAATGTTTCCTGAAAGGTTAGGCCATCAGGAAGTGTTGGTTTGTTTTCACTTTCACAGTTGGCTTCTGCTACTGAGGTGTGATATGCATGATTGTTACCCGACCATTCAGTGAAGAAGCTTTCAGACTCAAAATTATAGTTTGCATCACACTGACGGTAGGGTTCAGTGAAATACGATGACGATGGGATGATGTATCTTTTTTAGGTGCTGAATAATTGTAGAACAATGTTTCTAACTTGCTGAGTTTCTGTATACTTAGTAAGTTTCTATTAGTTAAATCTATCACATCTGCATCTGCAGTGTCAGGCAAATTGTTAGTAGGTAAGCTTGTAATTCCATTCTGATAACTTGATGTGATAATGCTCTTAAGAAGTTTACGGAATATTTCTGAACGCATTAATTTCGACCATGTAAACAACACTAAAGGAGATGGTATAAAATGGTGTGTACAGTAATGTTGTTTGAAGGAATTTTCAAATAAATTTACTTCATAATTATCAGTTCCAATTATTTTATCAACAGAATTCTGATAAACACTGTGTTCATTGAACATTTGAATAATTGAATGCAAGCGTGTAGATGTCATTAGATTACAGCTTTTTACTAAATGTACGAACTGCTTAAAAACTTCCGAAATATTTTCGCTCATTCAGTAGTTCTACATCAAAATAATAAAAAAGGAGGTAGGAAACTATGTCTCCAAATATTCAAGCAGTATTGTTTTTATAAAAATGATGTTTCACTTGACATGTTTTCTTCTGAAGTGCCTGATTGTTTAAATTTACTTATCTATAAAAAGATAGGAAGAATGTAAGATAATATAAATGAAAATAAAGAAAAGTTAAATTTTTTGGTTAGGAATGAATGTGTACTTTGATAGGTTCATATACTTATTTTCTTCTAAAATAGAATGCCTCTGTAATTGAAATATATTTTCAAGGTTTTTGTGGATGGTTTTAATAAGTGTCATGCCATAAAAAAGAAATAAAAATGAAAATTCCTACTATGCCAATAACTGCCGTTTACTTTGATAAGTATTGATTTCAACGTTTACCTTTCAAGAAGTATGTTCAAACAAGATATAATTGATGGTAGATGGAAAACCTGAATTTCAGCGGAATCTCCAGACCACCTACTCAACGCTATAGTGAATAACGGGGCGATCCTATCTGCTAACCAAGTCTAGATTTTATCTCAGACACTGAATTCTTTCTCAAACCCTCATGCAAGTGAGAGATGTGCATCATAGCTGCCTATCAAAATCTTCCTTCTATTCATACCAATATGAATTAATCCAAAAGGGGATAGAAATGAATTGAAGAGTCTAAAGTTAGCTTTTTGACGTAAAACAATATAACATGCTGAAAATCAATAAGCCTATGAGAAAAGCAGTAGATCTCCACACCGATTTCAGATTAATGAAGGCTTGTCTTGCTTTTCTGGTCCTGTCTTTGACGTCGCTATCTGTGCTGCCACCCCTGTAGTTAGTATGATGCTGCCTAGGTAGACGAAAGAGACAAATTCCTTCAGATTTCTCCTGTTGATAGTGATCGGTGCTTATTGTTGTTGATTGGGTATCTTTATCACCTCTGTCTTCTCCACATTCACTTGAAGTCCCGTCTTCCTTCGTTGCCTCGCCTCTTCTGTCAAACTGTTGGTTTTCGCCTGTAGATCTTCGAGTTTGTGAGACATTAGACATAAATCATTATTGGAGAAATCCAAATCTTTTGGGTCGTTTCATCGGTCCAGCCAGCTTATGCCTTTCTTCTACATCTTCAAAGTTTGCTGTATGATCCAGTCCAGTTCAGTCGGCCACATTCAGGAAGATGATCGGTGGTGTCAGGAGACAGACTTGTCTTACTCTCTCCTTTCTTCAAGGACGTCACTGAGCTAGACATTGTAAATCACTTGGTATGTCGGGTCTTCATATGGTTGTTGAATCACGTCTCGATCGACGCTGTCGAAGGCCTTCTCAAAGTCGATGAAATTGAGCTTGAATTGAGTGGACTGCCATTCTATGCTGTGTTCTGTGATGATGCGCAGCGCAGTATTGCAATTTGATCCACACATGATCTGCTCTTTCTGAATCCAGCCAGCCTGTTCGGATCGTAATTTTGAATCCAGTGCATCTTTTAGTCTCTCCAGGATGATGCGGCATAATATTTTGCTTGCGTTGAACAGCACCCCTTTTTTAGTCTGTACAACGTTTCTACCTTCACTGTCGTAAAGTTGTGGAGTTACCTGATATGAATATGGACAACAAATTGTGTCTGAAACGTTGTCCAGTAAATGATACTGTTTCACTATGTGACATTTCTAATCAACAGTCCGAAATGTAATTACAATCGACCACAGTGCCCAAGTTTAATTCCCACATTAAATTATTGCCTTTATTCTGAGTAAAAATCTCTTTTCTTAGCTATTTTTGAACTGACTATCTTCATTTAACAGAGGACGGATGCTATTAGTGCAAGTCAGCTTCTGTTAAAAGTTAGAAATTAATCAATTTAATTTTATCTCAACTCGACACTAACCGGCGAACGGTGATTACCTATGAGATAAGCCTTTGAAAATAAAACTGACTGGTAGAATGGAATAATATGTATTCATTATATCGATTTCATTTTATACAGTGCTAACTAGAGTCCCAACAAGCTGCTGGTTATCTTACGAACCCATTCCTCTCTATATTACTTGATATTCTAGGAAATAGCCTCCTTATTTCTGGAATATTACCATTGGCGTAAATTATCACACGATAGATTTGCTTTGTCTCTGAACCTTTTATTTCAATCAAAGTGAAATATTTTCTTTTACTTACAAAATAATTATGATTATACTGTTATCATCCAACTCCATGAATATATTCTCAAGAGAATGCAACTCATAAACAAATCAGATATTTTATCGGTGTGGCTTTATTATTTTTACAAGAAGAACAAACAAACAGAGCTGACTAAAAATGAGGATGACTAACACGACATGCTGGATACGGAGACAGTAATACTTTAACCTACCAGTGTCCTATGTTAAATGTTAAGTGCCAAATAGCTATTCTTTTTATTGCTTATTACTTAAACTTAATTGTTGCATAAATATCAATTATTTTCATATTTTTTATCCCTGGACTAGTGTATAAAGCTAAAAACATACACCATATGTTATAAGCTTAAAAATTAAATAAGAAACACTTTCAAAGGGTTGATATTGAGTGGCGATTGAAGGTGATATGAAAATTTGAACCATGGCTGGATTCGAACCAGCGACCACCAGGTTTCCGGTTCGGGTCTCTACCAATTGCACTGCGAAGCCCAACTGCTAACCAGATTTTTATTTCATTTCAGTCATCAAGAAATATGTCCAACTACCACGCGAATCCATGACGCGTTACTACGGCTTGATCTTACTCACACTGGTTGCCTACTCAGAACTTCCCATCCCAATCTTAATCTAACTTTCAAAGTGATTTACTCACAAAAGTTACAAACGTACTTACTTCAAAGCTTGAAAACAGTCATCATTTTTCGAAAATGTTTCTGTCTTCTAATTAGATTTCATATAACACATGCATCGGTAGACTCAGAGTTAATTCAATGAAGTTTCCGCAATAAATCAAGTCAAATGATATTATAGTGTACTTTTCATATTCTAAAATGATTGAAGAGATTTATAAGACAGTCTTTAACCTGAAGTTTATTCTATTAAAGTTATGATTAACAAAATATTGCCTTAAATGTTGTGAATATCTGAATATCAGTAAGACGTAGATTTACGTTTCAGCAATAATATTTCGTTTGTATTGCACATATAGACTGGTAATAAGAAATAATAAGCTAGAAAACTTAGGTGTAAGGAACTTCGGTTATCACTTGTAGTTGTTCAAAACTAGTTTACATTATGACAGGAAAGTAATTTAAGCTTTTTGATTATTTTTCGTGTCGACCAATTTACTTTTGAAAAGCAACGGAAAATAAAATTATCAGGTAAGAGATAATTTTCAAGACAGTAAACTTTTATAATAGCTAATCTAGGTTCTTCTATGTAACAGAGTTGATTTGGCTAGTAAACTGATGGTTTTGGTAATTTTATTGTCTTCCTGGATTAAATTGTCATGAGCAGATTATTAGACTTCATTTCGGGCGTTATCCTGAGTCTAACAGGAATCTGAAGCTAGCATATTCAAAAATGTGTAAACATGAAAATAAATTTTTTCACGACTTGATTCAAATTGAACTGGCTAGTTTACCTCTTCCTTCATCGATCTAGCAAACGACTTGTTAACCTTGAATTCTTGCACTGATCCCTATTTAGTTTTTATCAGTTTGCATACTGCAGATTTTGTCACCGGCTTCACATCTACCCTTTTTATTTAGACGAATCCTTACTTATATTGCAAATTGTTATTGCCAACCTGTAAATTAAATCCTAATGAATGAATGGACGACATCCTATATTTTATTTTAAATCAGACTTAGCGACTATCGGATCTCCCTCAGAAAAACACGTGAAAGAAAACGTCGAAGGAAAATTTTCACTGTTAAAATAATCGTAACACTATAAGAAATAATGACAATAACTATTTCAGTCTTAATATCTTTCTGATGGACTTCGTTTTTCAAAGAGCAATGGTTTTACAGTACCCATGGCATCACACTCTATCTGAAATGCAGAATACCAACTGGAAATCGGTACTTAAAAATGCAAAAAGATGAATCCTATCAAAGTCAAAGGGGATACTGTTTTCCAAAAAAATTAAGAGTTGTGACATGTGTACGCAGTACATATATCCCACCATTAATAAAAGGGAAACTACTATAGACGACAAAAATAAGTATTTTGTATCTGTAAAAGTAAGCCATACCAACCTTCTAGATTTCGTCTACTTGCCACAGAATGTATACGACAACCTTCGAAATGTATCTCAATGATTTGAAGGATGCTGCTATACATATACCTTCTTAACTATAAACAAATGTCAAGTACTTTTGACGAAAATATTTGAAATATGCCTGCGAACTAATTCCAACGCAATGTGATTAAGGAACTAAGAATGTCAACTGATTGTTTCATGCGAAGATTTGGTAATAAGAGTTTTTTATTAATTCTTGTCAGCTTACGAGATGAGCTGATCAATAGAGTACCGACATCTATTCGTACTGATTTACGTGTAACCTAGGTTTATTACATAAGATTACTAAGGCTTTTATTCGGTTCCCATAACATCTAGTTGGGAAAGTACCATATATGAGTTGGACTTCAATTTAGTATACTTTGGACAAAGCAAACAGAACGATAAATTAATATCATTTAAGATATTCTGCAATGTAAAGTCATTGCATGACTCAGTGACTTAATTAACTACGTGAGAGGACATCTATTCAAAAATTCCATGCATTTAGGTCTCTTGACAACCTAACAAGCGTAATCTGTCTTTAGAATTCCTATGGTTTTCGGTATTTTGTCATAGGGGATAAGGTTTTAAATACAAACCAACATCAATCCAAAAACCGTGGAGAAAAAAGAACTACACACTTGTTTGGTTTAATTTTGAAAGTGCTGAATGAGACGTAGGTCTTATTCTGTTAA